TATATCATAACCTAATCATCACCCTGCTACTGGGTATCTAGGTTGCATTAATTTTCACACTCATAAGTCATGTGAGCCTACTAACGAACTTTTTGTGGATAAAGTGTTCTGCCATTTCATAGGCGATTAAAAAAATTCTTGGTCATAAGGTTATTAGGTCAAGATATATAATGAGGGAACTTCAGAAATTTCATGGAAAAAATGGAATTAACATTTATTTTGGTCCATAATTTTTTGAAATCTATGCATTTATTTCATAATGCACATTTATTCGTGAACTTTTTGAAGACCCCTTTTATTGTATTAAGCCTCATGTGGCTGAAAGTGATAGAAACTCAACTCAAACTGTCTTAAGCAAATTACAGGAACTTATTGAGGAGTAGAGGGATGTAATGCTAAATGAAGCAAGCAAGACTATGAATCTATCCCTCAAGGAGCAGAGGGATAGAGTTCAGGCTGGTCTGATTCCAAAGGTTCAGTTGATGTCATCGGGGCTCTGATCTGTGTCTCTTTCAGATCTTTCCTCTGCATTGGCCTTATTCTAAGATAGTCTGTATCCACTTATGTCAAAATTGCTGCCTACTGTTCCTGTTTTCATCCTACCACCTCTGAAATACCCTCTTGGGAAGACATCCTTTTCCAATATTTTTGTCAAAAACCTTGGGACAGGTTTTTATTGGCTCAAATTAAATTGTGCCATCTTTAAGTCCTGAGCCTGGACATGGAGTAACAGGCTGTACTAGAGTAGGGATAATGCCACCCCATTTGTATCATAGTCTGAGGGTAGGGCAGGTGCCATTCCCCAGAGAAAAATCTGGATGTTCTTACCAGAATGGGGGATGGATCTTGGGTAGGCCCCAAATGACACATTTTTATTTTACCTACAAATGTATTAAGGACTTTCTATCTTAGTGAAAAAAAGGAAAAGCCAGAAAAGATTCATGAAACACAGAATTATAAGTGCTGGTGAGGCTGTGGTGAAAAGGGAATCCTCCCACACTGTTGGTGGGAGTGTAAATTAGTATAGCCACTGTGGAGAACAATATGGAGATTCCTTAAAAACCTATGAATAGAACTACCATATGACCCTATAATTCTACTCCTGGGTATCTACCCAAACGACAGGAGAAACTCAGAAAAACGCTTGCACATCTATGTTTATTGCAGCATTATTCACAATTGTTAAGACATGGAATCAACCCAAATGTCCAGAAACAGGTGAATGGATTGAAAAAACATGGCATTTATACACTATGGAATACTACTCAGCCATAAAGAACAATGAGACCCTGACATTTGATACAAAGTGGATGAATATGGACGATTTAATGCTAAGTGAAGCAAGTCAGACTATGAAAGATAGGCATTGAATGTCCAAACTTAATATATGTTGAATTATCTGCATTCTGTGGCAGAAACTGAAAGACTGGAAGGTACGATAGCAGGGAGGGCAACTGAAGATACTAGAGACAGTAGAGGAGGCCATGGGTAATAGGGGGTGAGAAGGAGGGGACCAGGGGAAAAAAACATTTAACGGAAACAAAAATGTAAAGTTATCTGTTGATAATGTACATGGTGATATCTATGAGTAATACACACCATATTCACACTTGAAAAAACCATTTTGTATGCTGTAAAGATGTACAGTGATTAAGTGGACATAAAATTGATTTATCAATTAGAAAAAGAAAAGGACAAGTC